CTGGGCACTTCCCGGCAGCAGCCGCTGGGTTAGCTCCGGAGAACTGGAGGCGATGGAGGGCGGGGAGAAGGCAAAGGGGTCCCGAGGTGATGCCCCCGCAGCCCGCGGTGCCCCCAAGCCTGGGCCACGGGGTAGTCACAGAATCGTTCTGGTTGGAAAAGACCTTTAAGATCACCGAGTCCAACCATAACCCAACTCTGTCCAGGTCAGCACTTAAAGCGTGTTCCTAAACAGAACAGATTGACAGACCCCGACTACCTCAGGCTGCAGAGAAACACGTTTAAATGGACAACAGGGGAGCGAGGGTAGAACAAAGTTAAAAAAAATAAAAAATCATAGTTTAGCTTTTCTTCATACTAGAAAGAACAGGTGTGCAATGGGGAAAGAGCTGGGGTGGCACAGGCTCATGTGGGGGCCTCATCTTTGCCGGTCACCTGGTGACCTGGGCCTAGGGCTCTGGGCTGCCCTGGCCGGTGCATGGGGTGGTCCCAGCCCCCCCCGACACCCCTGAACTGGCTTCCTGCCTACTCCTCTGCCCACCTCGTCCCAGGGGCTTGTCAGAGTGCTCCATAGGGAACCCACTGCCCAGGCACCTCAAAGGCAAGACCCATGTTTGGAAGAGGGAGCCATGGAAGCAGCCAGACAAGCTGGCGCACCAGGAGCTCTGCAGCCCCCTTTCTGGCAGGGTTTGGCTCATGGGAGCAGTTCAGGTCCTGCCTGCAGGGCTGGGTGCTGGCACCTCCCAGCACTGCACTGGCTTGAGAAGGAAGCCCATGGACCATGGAGTGCTGGAAGGGGAAGGAAGAGCTGCTGCCACCTCTCTCTGGAGGCACCAGCCTTTTGGGGAGTGCATGACCTGCCCATGCAGGTGGGCTGTCACCCTCACTCATGCTTGGGGGAAGAGCAAAACCCCTTGGTCCCCTGAGCTGAGCCCACCTGCTGCTGCAGGAACTCCATACCCAAGTTCCTGCAGCCTTGTGTCAAGGGGTTGAGGCTCCCCCATCTCCTTTGAGGGGGTTCAGGGACTTTCTAGGACTTGTTGAAGGCTGCCAGGACAGCCCAGATCATCTCTGCACCCCTGGCTTTGGCAGCTTCCACCTCGGGGTCCATATCAAGGAGGTCCTTGGTCCTGTTCATTGCCACACTGTACTTGTCATCAGCCAGGCTGGCGAAAACGTTCTCCAGCACATCAGAAGAGTGGGCCAGCACCAGGAGAGCTAGAGTCCTGCGGTCCATGCGGTGTGGGTCATTCACCCATCGCTCCAGCAGGCTCTCCTGGAGCTTCTTGACCAAGCGCTGCTTCTCAGTGATGTCGCTGACAGGGTGGGTGGTCATGTCGAAGAGCAGGAAGTTCTGTTTCTCCGTGGTGAGGATGCCCTTCTCCACCAGTGCCTTGGCAATGCGCTCACGCACATTCCTTAGCTGGTACTGCAGCTTGAAGGGGTTCCAGGTCTCCCCTGCAGCAAAGGAAACCCCGTTCAACACCAGGGAAGAGACAGCTTTGCCAGCCAACCCCAGTGCCTTCCAGTCCAGGACCATTGGTGCTCACACAGACACCAGTCCCTGCTGCAGGAACCCTCTTCCTCCCCTTGGCCTAACCCATCTCTCCCATCAAGCTGAGCTGGTGAAGCTCCCAGCAGCCACAGGGTGGAGCA